AATTACTCTATTTTTTTGAGTCTTTTTGCCTCGGGATGGTTGTTGAAAAGATTTATCTGTTATTTTTTCCTTCATTATTTTAATCTCGTTGTCTAGTCTTAGCAACACAATATCTGGATTTGGAAAGACGAATTTTGATCCTTTACTAAAAATGTTTTTTGGAAATGGGTTATTGAGAGGCCATAATTGCGAACTTGGGAAGGAAAGCCTAAGAGGGAGAAACGAGGATGTAGCAGAGTTGTAACCGGTCAACAAAATCACGAGCGGTACCGATATAAATATGCTTTTTTCTGTCATATTTTCTAGTTATAAGCCAATTCGACTGGTCCCGGTCCAGCAGTCTGACCAGAATCGGTCCAACCGACCGGTTGATAAGTCTCGACCTGACCGAGAACGGGCACTCGGTCGCCCGGTCCGGTTACATCTCTGTGACGTAGTCGAGGTAAGGGAGTACTACGTCTTGACTAGTCTGTTTTATTTCAAAAAAGATGATACGAAAATTTGTTCGACTGCGGATAGAGCTACTCACTGTCCACCACAAGAAATCGACGCCTACAGTAGGCGGTCGTCCCCATCCTAGACGAATGCTTCTACGCTCCGCCCGGATAAATATGCTGACGTAAGTAGTAAACTAACTGGCGACAATTGCATTTCATTTCAATTTGGATTAGATCAGATACAATTTGATGTTATTTGTATTATTATAAAACTTGACCAAGATAAAGTTCGAAAAAGATTTTTAAAAATGATGAATTAGAAAATAAAGCTTTCGAGTTATATAGTCTGCCTCTGCGCCTGGAAAGCCCGTCAATTACTAAGAAAGAGAAAGAATAAGAGCATGTGGATAACTAGCTTTGATTTTATACGACAGCTGTAATAACTCACCCGCGAAAGCTGAGTTTTCGAAAGACTTTTAATGAATAAATGTCACTAAAGAGAGAGACTAGAGTTCATTCATGCACTCTAGGAACTTATACTCATGAAGGTCCGTGGTTAAATAGATCAACTGGTAAATGCACAAGTATGTAAAACAAGTCTCATACGTTCGAATCTAACCTATTTCTCTCCCTCTATATATCTATATATATAAAGAAGAAAGTTTGTTTGTATGTTTGTTTGTTTGTTTGTTTGTTCTCTATGCATTCAGTCCCTGTAAGAGCTAAAGCAGCCAAAATTTGCATGGCACACCCTTGGATCCAGGGGAAGGTCAAGAGGGGGTCGGCGAG